CTATCTGTCGGCAGCCCTACTGACCAACGTAATCTCATGTAAGCCACGGCGAGTGGGCTCAATGGTTTGCGTCATTAAATGGGCATTTCATTTAACACTTGAATGCATTTTGAGCTGCTTCGACTTGTCGTGGAAAGTTCTGGTGGGAACAGCGCCTGCAGCTGGGTTCAACAATAGTAGTGGCCCTTCGGTACATTTGACCTGGCAGCTGGGCATTAATTGATTTCTCACTTTTGTTACCGTCCCAGCCAACGCGATAATTGGAGTGCTTGAAAATAAATAACAGCAGGCAAAAACTGTTGCATATTTTCAGGCGGGACTCTAGCTTCTGCCTCGCCGTGAGATTAATTCAATTAATAACGCAAATATGACCACGCACAGGGAGCGAAACCACAAAGTGGAGTTGCCTTTGTGGACACAGCACCGACCACAAGGACAAAGGAGTTGGGGAGTCGATTCAATGATTCAATGAACATTTTCAAATTAATCGCATTCCGAAAAGTGTCGCATTTCATGTGGCACGTGCCCGGGGGCCTGATAAACGTTCAGCGACGTTTGATTAGGCAAATTAAATGGCAACACGGACCAATTTGTATATCCAATTTGCCCCACGCGAAGCGGATTCACTTCGCAGCGGCTTATGTCATCGCGAGTGGGCCACAGATCAGAGAAACATTTTTGGCTACGTTTGCGTTCGAGTTTGACCTCAAGCCACAAATCAAGGGTCCACCACACACGCATAACAGGGATTTGAGCCACAATAAAATTCAATTTCATCCTGGGCCCCCTAGAAAACACAATAAAATCCTGAGCCCATAAATAAGCATTTGAGGCAAATACATTTTGTTGCTCTTTTGTGTTGGAAATACTTTCTGGGTGAAGGTCAAACATGACATGAATGTAATTGTAAATTTATTTATATATTCCTAGAGATGATTAACTATCTGGAGTAGAGCTTCAATCTTTATCCTCTTATGTGGAACGCTGCACATACTTTTGCGCACATTTTGCACTTGCCATGTAGGCAGCTAATTGGGGCACAAGGACTGCCTGCCGGGCAGACGTAGAAGACAGACGGAGAGCTAAGCACTTGCCACACACACAAGCATCAATGCTGGGTGCTGCCTGCTCTCCTCTCTGAGCCAACTACAATGTAGATGTTGCGACTGTTGCGCCTGTTGGGCTGCTCATTAATTATAATTACAAACATGCCGCAAAAAGTGGCAAAAGTGGAAATGCCTCTGACGACATTGCTAGAGATAAATGCGGTTTGGGGCTTGAGGTTCAAGCAGTCATGAGTGAAGACCGACAAACCGAGTAAACGGGAAAAAAGAGTTCACCAAAAGTTATTTCTGGTCTTGGCTGTGTAAATATTTAGCTGCGAAAGCACTCCCATCTCTCCCCTCCCAAAGGACGCAGCTTTGTGTGCCATTTTCCGGCTATTTGGCAGCAGCTGGATACCAACTTGCTCTTCCACTGCAATGCCATTGAGTCTAGCTAACTGCATTAGGAAGCGCCACGCTTTGTGGCCAACTCTAGATACATTTCTGCCAACCCAAAAAGCATTTTTACCAAACAAAGTGGGGCAATGAAAAGATGTACACAAAGTCCTAGGCCTTCCCCTTAAATTTGTGTACCTTCAAATTGAATTTATGGAATACAATTCTCAGGTTTTGGCTGTAATATTCGCCTTAATTTATGAGCGAAATCCTAATAGATGTTTGGCCCACAGAAAGTTTAACCTTTGTGCCCGAATCGAGCGAAATGTCTTCAGTTCTAAGGCTCTTTATTAATGTTCGTTTAGTTAATCATGCCGAAGGGGGAGTTGCTGTTCACGGGCACATAGAAGTCACCGGAAACCATGTAGGCATTGGTGTCGGCACCCATGCGGACACCGCTGTAGGTGCTGCCGCACTGGTCATTGACGGCAGACTGGTAGTCGCCGCACTTGATGGTTCCGAAGTTGTCCTGGCTGACGGCCTCGGCGTAGTAGGTGGTGGAGCGGCCGTGGGAGCAGGCACCGGTGACATCCATGAAGCAGCCGGGCTGCGACTTGCCGCCGTTGGGGTAGAAGGCACCCTTGCCGATGGGCTTCAGGAATCCCAGCTGGCCGCCGTTGGTCTGGATGGACTCCACATACCAGGCATCATTGCTGTTCAAGCGCTTGTTGGGGGAGTTGTAGCTGAAGAGGGGCAGTGCGGGGTCCAGACCGATGATGGCGTAGACCTGTCCGTTGGTGTTCTTGCCGGCGTAGCCAGCCACGTGGGCTCCCAGACTGTGTCCAATGACGTACAGATCGTTCAGGGACATGCCGTAGTTGGAGTTCAGGAAGTTGATCATGTTGGCCACCTTCTTGCCGGTGGCGGAGACAGCCATCACGGAGGTGGCGTAGTCGATGGAACGTGCACGAGCCCAGTCCACGACGATGACGTTGTAGTCTCCCTGTCCCAGCCAGGCGGCGCGGATGTTCTTGTTCATGCCAGCGGTGTAGCTCTGGGTCCAGCCGTGGATGACGAAGCGAGTGGGATTGCCGGCGTTGAAGTTGGAGTTGTCGATGGACTTGTAGGTGGCAGAGATCTTCTGGCCCTTGGTGGGGTTGGAGGAAGTGTACAGGTAGAAGGAGACGGGCACGGTGGTCAGGCCACGAGACTCGAGGATCTCCTGCTGTGCCATCCACTCCTCTGCGACGTCCTTGTCCACCCACTCGAAGCTGCCGTCCTGCTGGGGAACGTACCAGCCGTTCTCGCCGCTGACGCGGTCAGCCTCATTCAAGGCATAGGCCGAAGCTGTCAGACATAAGCGTAATTTGTTAGTTAAACAATCAGCAGGAGTCTTAGTCCAAGGACTTACCGGCCAAGGCACAGAATGCCAAAAGAATAAAGGTCTTCATGTTGGTTTCAGAATCGAAAACAGATTGCTAAATGTGTCGATGGCTTGTTCTTTTATAGGGAAAATCGGGGGGCACTTATCATCAACCGATTAGACTCGCTTGGAGGTGGACTAACTACTTAGAATATCTGATAGTACAAGTGGTCAATGCGGTTCTGATGGAATGCCGCATCAGATATGATATTTATGGACGGATTCCCAATCTATTGAGTTCCATTATCAAATGCTTCAAATTTTTCAGCACGACCCTGCGAAAGTCCTAAGCTTTCTCCTACTTAAATATTTTGTTGTACCTTTTTGTCGCATTTTGCTATTCGCCCCTGTAGCTCTTCTGTAAATTGAATTTATGAAATACCATTTAGGCTTTCGTCAGCCACCTGCTTTATTTTGTTCGCCTTTGTTGTGGGAGCCAAACAGAATTTTCAGCCAAACAGAATTACGCGCCAACTAAGCCCAAAAAATCTGATTTGCCTCTCATTCCATTCCACTCCCGCCCTGTCCTGGATATCTAAGACGTTATTAGGCTTTCTGTGTGGCGCTCACATATATTCCACTTTTTTTTCTGTACGTGATTCCTGTCAATATTTTGCATTTTATTTTCATGTTCCTTCGCCAGCCTGCGGGCGCCTCTCCTCTCCTCTCCTCTCCGCTCCTCTCCTTCCCTTTTCATTTTCTTAGTATTTTTTGTTGTTTTTTATTGGCTGAAACCGTTCGAATATTTAAGAGTGCTTCTCGGTAGCTTGTAATTATTTTGCGTGCTTTTGGCATTCAGGGCACATTGTAAATACAAATACAAAATTGATGAGCTGTTCATTAATCAACAGCCAACCCGAGCTTCATATATGTGCGAATTTTGGATTGCCTGCCGCATGTTTAATGAAGTCCACAAATAAAATTAAAGTCTGTGTTTTCTCACACAGAGAGAGCACTTTAAGGCGTCACTCAGTGCCAGTGCTCTCTTCATTGCTAATCCAATATACACTTCACCTAATGGTTCCTCATTCGAACAAATTGTTTGTTAAGTTTCTGCCATGCTTATCGGAAAGCTGAGATAAAATGTTTTGCATACAACCAGAAATTCCTGAAATGCGTGCCGGAAACGGCCTGAGATGCCACTGTCAAACCTTTCAAATCCGCACAAATGGGATTCGGGATACGCTGGCACACATGCGTGGGCCAAGGAACGTGGCAAGATAATTGATAAGAAAAAAATACAGAAGGCACGAGGAAGAGGCAGAGTGAAGCAATGTCAACAAACGAGTCACGAACATATTCAGGCACTCGGCCTCATTATTGCGCTGAGATAAGCAATTTACCCACTTGATAACCTTATCCTGCCCTTGCAGTACTCCGCTCTGGAACTGGCTGCTGGATGATGGGTAATGGGTGGCTGGCTGAGTCTGTCAGTTGTTGTCAGAGTTCATTCAGGGAGACATTAAAACCAAGTGAACTCAACCCAAATGATATGCAATTAAATGAGATGAGAGCTGAAGCCAGATGCCATTTTGTCAACGTATCGAAAGGCAAAAGTTTAAATTGCCCAGTGGCACACACACTCCCTGCTGTTTTGTTAATATTTTCGATTACCGAGTAGACTTTTAATTGCTTGCAATGGGCTGTCTTTCAGGGCTTCAAAGAGCAGCTTGAAATCTTATGAGAAATAATATAATTAACTTGACTTTGCCTTAATAAGAGTTGGAGTGGTGTAGGCTGACTCTTTGTTGGAAATTATTGATACGGAATAATCTATTAGAATAAGTAAAACTTCATTTATTAATGCATTGCTCTGCCTGAGTCTCTACTTCATTGTCTTTTGAAACAAAGAAAATGTTCTCCATTGTTCTTCATTCTCTCCAAAATGTGAGTGTGAGAATGGATACACTTTGGTTCATGTAAGTCCTTTTATTGGCTCCCTTAAAGAGCGAAAGAATAGCCACAAAAATGCACAAGTTCCCCAAATTATAAACCCAAAACTCTTATACCCACCACCGCCTGCAAGTATGCAATGCTTTTAGGCGCAAAGCAGATTAGGCCAATTATTAAGTAGCCGCAATGTAGTGCAGCACTTTTTGTGATTCCCGCTAATTGCAGCTCAAACTTTTTGCTTGCAGATTGGCTGTGATAGCAGGCGAGGGAAAACTTTTCAAGAGCGTGGAATATTTCGAGCCAGAATGCTGACGAGTACAACAAGACCGTAGGAACCGCAGGAGCAGCAGCAGCAGCAGCAGCAGCCACAAGGAGACACAAAAGTTTTCAACGACTGGAAGCTGCCTCAAGAGTTTGCGGTGCCCCACAAAGCGCTTGAATGGAGTTCGACAATGGCTTGCTGTGGCAGTGGCAGCGCGGAGCAGCGGCCGGCAGTGAGCTCAGTGACGAGCGACTCTACTACATAGCCCCGCAGCAGCCGCTGCTGCGCAACGAGGAGGATGACTATCCGGATGCCGCCCTCTCGCTGACAGACTCTGCCTCGCTGCTCTACAATGCCACTGTGGGCTCGGGGGAGCTGGAGGTGAGCGATGCGGAGGCGGTCTACAGCTATGCATCAACGACCACGCTCAATGGCCTGGACTTTGAGCGCCTCAATGTCACGGTCCTGATGAACTTCAGCTGCGAGGAAACAGAGTCCCTCTCGGATGATATGTGGTCCAGCAACTACTTTAAGAGCACCGTCTACCTGCTGTACATTCCAATCTTCATCTTCGCACTGATCGGCAATGGCACCGTCTGCTACATCGTTCAGTCCACGCCACGCATGCGCACCGTTACGAATTATTTTATAGCGAATCTGGCACTGGGCGACATACTGATGTCCCTGTTCTGTGTGCCCTCGTCCTTCATCTCGCTGTTCATCTTGAACTACTGGCCCTTTGGCATTGTGCTCTGTCACTTTGTCAACTACTCGCAGGCGGTGTCGGTGCTCGTCAGCGCCTACACACTGGTGGCCATCAGCATTGATCGATACATAGCCATCATGTGGCCTCTCAGGCCACGCATCACAAAGCGGTAAGTAATGATTTTCCTTCCTTTGGCTTCCCCATTTACGCCCACATGGAAAGCTGTTAAATGCCAAACTACGATCGTTATTGCCTTGGCTTGGGTATCAGCGCATAAATCAGGCTGTAAACAATTTACGAGACGCCTTTGATTGCCAGTTAAATTAATTGAAAACTTTTCTTTTGTAGTGCCTCGTTTTTTGGTGGGAAATGAATGTTTATTTTTGGGTATGCTCGTAATCAAATGTCAAATTCGAGTACATTTCCTTAAGTACATTGCATTTTAAGACCATATTAGTTACAGTTTATATTCATTCGTACTTTGCTTCAACTATTTAAGCCAAGTGGAGGCAAGTCTTGCCGTCTTATTGGCGTGCCCGCACACCGTTAAGTGTGGTGGCCACTTGGCTATTTGCATTTTGTCTACTTGACCGAATCGCCGGTCTCCAGGGTGGCGGCGTCAATGGCTCGCCGGCTCGTGTTAATTGGTTTAAATAGTAATCCAAGACCCTGACGCTGCGTAAAAACCAAAAGACACCCAAGCTGGAGTTGCCCGACGTCAATTTGCTTGGTAACTGGATACGATACGGCATTGGCATTGCCATTGGCATTGCCATTGCCACTCACACTCGACCATCAGACGGTGTCACTCTCACTGCCATCCCATCTCCAGCGGAGTGCTGAAGAGCTCTGGCGTGAGTATTTCACGCCCGGGCGACTTTTAATGGAGGTTCAACACGGCCTACGTCAGTCCCAGTGCCTGTGTGCCTGTGCGGGGGTTGAGTGTCCTGTTGTGCAAATGTTTGCGGGGCTCATAAAGTAAATACGGTTGATAATTATTCAACGTGACTGTAATATAGTAAACGCACACGCAACGGCGTCGCAGCCACAACCCTACCGCAGCGTAAATGCTCGCTTATCACGCTTACTGCGGCGGATAAGCTGCCGGAAAGACAGACAGCACCGGCATCGCTCATACGTCACGTGCGCCGGGGAATTTTCAAACTGTTTAAGAATTTACGAAAGGCATTTGACAGCGCGGCACGGGGGGCTTGGGTGTGCATAAAATGTTTTTAAATATTTAAGAGAGCGAATCAAATGTACTTATGAGCCACTTATAAAATGTTGTTTTTCTCTGTCTGTGTCTCGTTTCAGTTATGCTAAATTTATCATTGGCGGCGTTTGGTTTATTGCACTTGCCACCGCATTTCCCATACCCGTTGTCTCCCGCCTCGTCATACCCTCATCGGTGTGGCACGAGAAATGCGAGAAGTAAGTACCAACAATGAGCGGGCAGGCAGGCAGGCAGCATCCTCTCTCCAGTGTTTGTGTTTGGCACATCCATCTCCTGTCCATGTGTGTGTGTGTGGTGTGTGCCAAATGTAGCATTAAAGAAATGACTTCGTGCGTAAATGGATGTTTGGGGCATTATACTTGAAGGACTTCAACTTTAAGAGAAACTCCTGCTGCCGCTTGAGCTGCTCGAAACACTCACTCTTGAGTGGCGTGCAAATAAAAAATATTACAAGCATTTTCCTCCTTCTTCTGCGCCTCCACACAAATTTCGCAAAGAGAAAGGAGCTGGATGGTGGCAGCTGGGATCAAGTATAATGTAAATGCAAATAGGAAACTCATCTGCAGGCTGCATGGCAGCTAAAAGTCATGTCTAATTGCGACAACAGGACGACGGCGATGACGGGCTTGTGCTCGACCTGTTCACATTGTCCGGCAGCAGGACCCTCAAGTGCAGCCCTGCAGCTTCGTATGATAAAAACGCTGCAACAAATTTAGCAGTTGCTTCACGTTAAGCTCCAACGAAGGGCAAATGTTTTTTCGGCTATTGCTTAGCATAAAACTGAAATGGCCCACTCAGCCATGAATGCGGGTGTGTCCGTGTGTCCCTGCATCCTTTGTGTGGCAGTTGAATGTTGAGAGCCAGCCAGCAGATTCCTACATGCAACCCACACTAATGCTTTTGGCTTTTGTCTCTCCGTTCTATGGCCTCTCCTGGTGGAATTCTCGTTGGACCAACCTCAGATTCATCTGCCGCGAGATGTGGCCATCCAGCGATCATGAGTACTACTACACACTGTCCCTGTTCACGCTGCAGTTCGTTGTGCCGCTGCTGGTGCTCATTTTCACGTACACGCGCATCGCCATCGCCGTGTGGGGCAAGCGACCGCCCGGCGAGGCGGAGAACTCGCGGGACCAGCGCATGGCGCGCTCCAAGCGTAAGGTAAGTCAATCATCTGCCAACCGCAAAAACTAATTTACTCCAAAAAGGTAGCTCCCAGCCATTAGTCCCTGTGGGTTCCCCTAGGACGCTGGGATTATATAAAATGGCACAAGAACCAGCATATGGTTGGTGCGTCCTTTGGGCTGTCCATTTGGGAGCGTCTGGGGCTGGGCATGCCTGGCCCAAGTACAAGACAATTGCTTGCTATTCCTCCCTTTATTGTGCTGGCTTTTAAGGGGGTCCTTTAATATGCTAAAATGTTTTCCCCATTTGCCGTGTGTTGCTGTGGAACGTGTTGCCGCATGCAACTGGGCATTGTTCGGACATTCTGATGATTCCTGATTGAATTGCAAATCCAAGAGGAAACTCAAAAGGAATTCTAGGTGTTTGAATCTGCAGAAAAGGATGAGTTTTAAAGTTGCTTCGTGCATTTCAAAGGAATTAATCTGCTGGAAAAAATTGAATAAAGTTTTTTGATTATGATTTCAGATTTTACAACTTTATTTTGAATTTCTTTTTCTCTCTCTCTCTCTGGGGCTCATCCAATCGTTGCATAAGTTGTAACAAAGAGTCTCAATCGATTCGAGGCATCTTCTTTAAGCATTTTTTGTTTACTTTAAAGTTTAACCCCAACAGCAGCACCTTGCCACTGGCGCGGCATCCATTCGAGCCGTGCCACACGACGCGACGACAGCTGTCGAAGCAGCAATCTTCAAATTGATTTTGCATTTTAATTCTTCCATTTCTGGGGTCAATGAGGAGCAAGCGTGGCAAGGCTGGCTTCCTGCTCCTCCACGAGTTTTGTGCATGGATTTTGGGTTTGGTTTTTGGGTTTGGGCTGGGGCTGAGGCTGAGGCTGAGGCTTTGGCTTTGGCTGTGGCAGCGTGCCAAATGGCATGTAATGCTCACATAATCACACTGCGCATGCGCAGCAACTGGCAGAGCTTCGACCAAATAAATGAGTAAAGATTTATGCGGTACAGCTCGTGGTTGCCGCCACTTGCCAGCTGGAGGCCTAGGCTGAGGCTGCGACTAAGACAGCCACTTCGACATCGTCTTCAACTTTGGCTGCGTCTGAAGATGGCATCCAGCATTTTGTGGTCTTCCAGGAAATCATTGGCAACTTGCAAGTTGCAACTATGAGTGCGAGTGCGGGTCGGTTCGGGTGCTGGTGCTGGTGCGGGTGGACTGGCGACCACGTAACCAGTTGTCAAACGAGCCCCCTTCGGCCTGTGGCCAATTGTGCAGCTGAGATTCCACTGCCAGACGACGACGGCAAAGAAAGCTGCTCAGCTGAGAGAGTTAAAATTTGTATGCTGTCGCTGACGACCTTTCCTGAACGACGATCCTCTCTCTTTGGTTGGCAATCAAAGCGCCCGCTTCGACATGTATGTTCGACTTGTGGATATCCCGTCAGCTGGCAGTAATTATAATCGCCATATTTGAGGGAGAACAAAGACAGGGCCGCAAATGAGAGAGACAAAACTCCGACGGATGGCAGACAGCAGCCAGGAACTCCGTCATCTTGCAGCGGCTGACAGTTTCGCCCACTGCCGTGGTGCAATGTTACCCAATTTGAGCCTCGGGCGACGACTGAATGCAGCTTCATCTGCCATTCACTTTTCAGCATTTATTTTGTGTTGGATTTTTTCGATTCATCGCCCTCCTGTGATGGTTGACCATCCTTCGATGCAGTTGCCTAAAAAGTACGAGTACGAGTAGCAGCTCCAAACAGTTATTCGGTTACTTAACCCGGCAACAATTTTAGCTGACTTGGATTTCCCATTTGCTCATGGCCAGACGGCCGAACTCCCTTCGACCCGCCTATCAAGCGGCAGCTCCCTTCCCCCTGATGCAGCCGTTGACAGTTTCCTCCTCGTGTGTGTCTTTCAAACATTATTTTTGCCCATGGAGCAACTATAAGGAGGGCCCGTCGTCGGCAGCGTTCATTCGAGTCATTTCCCCCTGAGCTCAGTGCTTCAGGCGCACACTCCATTGTCGTTTCACTTGCACTTATTGACCGCATTGTTACGTTTCCCTCAAAAAAGCCGACGGGCCCTCCTTTATAGTTGCTTCATGATTTCTGCCAATCGCCAGCTGAAATTATTAGCAAATTACGGTACAAGTGCTCTTCGCAAGGGGGGGAGCTGTGCTCTCTTGCTCTCCCCTAGGGGAGAGACAATACTCATTTTTGCGCTGCACTGTTCGAGCTTCCTCGTGGTCGTAATGGTCGTTTTGTCGTCTCGTTAAATATCAATTGAAAATTACAAGATTATTTGGTAATCTGCCAATTAATTGTTGGCTGAAGCGCAACCATGATGAGTGGATTGGCTAGGCAGGAGGAGGATGGATATACGAGTTTAGAAGTGAGAGGAAAAATTACCGAAATTCCTTAAGCTAACTTCAGTTGTCATGGCAGCAAGATTATTCCATCAAACTGGGCAACTAAATTCACTCATTCAATCATCAAAGCACAGTGCAATAAAGCACAAAAGTGAGACATCAATCTTAATTTTTCTTTGCACATAACATTTCCCTTTATGCAGCAAAACGTTTGCCCGTAAATGAATTTCCATTTATCATTGCAAAAAACGTGCATTCATCAATTGCATTCCCTTTTCGTATTCTGTTTTGTGTGGCACTTTTGTCAATATTTGTCAAGTGTTTCCTAAATTCGTTTGCACGTGTTGCAAATCACAGTCCATCTAATTGCTGGGAAACGCACACACCACACCCCACTGTACCCCCCACCCACCAATATGAGTATAAAGTGGTGGGGAAAGAGAGGGCAAGTCTATTGCCGACCTGGGGCGATGACACTTCACAGTTGTCAGAGCCGCTGGCGATTGCAACTTTTGGATTGAGTATCAGTAGTTTTTGTTGTGTTTTCTGCATATCTCCATTCATTGCTTGGCCAGGCAGCTGGCGACTGCATCTGCTTTGTCAACGTGTTGGCCTGTAGGAAACTTTGCCTCATTTGGCTCACTGAGGGTATGCCGATGGATGCCGTTAACGCGATTTGCTTCTTGTTTGAATGTAAAACGTTAATTGCATAATTGACTGCAAGAGGCGTAACTTATGGCCCGAAAGTGTTCATGTATTGGCCATCATCAGCAGCAGCAGCAGCAGCAGCATCATCGTCATCATCCTGATAACTAAGCCCCCCTGTGGATGGCCCAGCCCGTCCCAATGCTCGCTGACCATGCCACGAACCAAAGACTGATGACCCATCGCCAGACATGGGCAGGTCCACAAGAGAGGCGGACACTCCGCACAGTCCGCACAGTGCCGCAGTCCCCGCAGTCCCGCAACTGGTTCCCATTTGCCGTTTTATTTTCATCCATTTTTATTTCTCCGGCTGCAGACATTGCAACGCAGCGCAGCGCAGCGTCGTCGTCGTCGGCGTCGCAGTCTTCTCTTTCTGTTGAATTGTGTTAAAATGTTAATTTCGTGTTACGTAATCTGTGTCATATCCAGCAAGCAGCATCAGGCACCCAATGAGGCAGGCAGCTGGGATCTTCATCATCAGCAACGGCAACGGCAACGGCAGAGGCACTGGCAGCACCCATACCGGCACAATGGGCGGTGCATGTGAAAAAAAGTGAGAGGATTCCCAGGCCCCTGGGCAGTGGATCTGCCTTGCAACTCACACACACACGGAAAGATGCACCCACACACTGGGTTGCACTTTGTGCGTTTTGTGGCAAATTAAAAGATAAAACTCACCGATGCAGCAGCTGCAGCAGCTGCCACAGCAGCAACAACTTCAGCAACAGGCTGCAATTAGTCGCCTGCCCACCCCCCACTTCTGCCGTTTGTTTATCTCGCAGTTTGCATCCCCCCCCTCTCTCCCTCTGCAATTCCGGTTCTGCCCCAAGACTTTTTCTCCAAGATACTTGTAGGCCCTTTCCATGCCATTGATTTATTTTCCTACAATTTGTTAGCCTCTGCCTCTACCTCTACCCTGCAGTCCGTCAACTGCAATTGCAGCGTGGAGTTTGGCCAACAAATTTCCAAATGATTCTCCAGAAACTGTTGCTAAATTCAGGCTGAAATATTGCTAGCAGTCTGCTGGGACCAAGCTCTCTCCATTTCTCTCTCTGGTAGCTCGATTAAGTATTGATAGATGCACTTTTTCCATTGATTATGTGGGGAATTGAAAATGCAAATAAGCTGGAAAATTGTATTGCAATTGGAAATTAAATTGTTGCTTGCAAAATGCATTAGAAATGCATGGAACATGGAACCATTGCACTGGCAGCATCGCTGGAGTATACCTTTTAGGGCAATTAAACGACATTTAATTGATACTTTTATCTGCCCCAAGATGCAGGAAAGACTACCCTATCAAGCCTTAACTTTCTCCTAGAATTTCCTTTACAATTCTAAGCACTTTCCCCATGCAAAGTTGCGATGATCTATGTCCAAGTATTGACTTGCCTTCGTCTTCATTATTCATTCCAGCAAATTCGAAGCGTGTTTTGTGGTGCAATCATTTCCTAATGAGCTTATTGCATAATGTCTGCTCACTTCTGCTCACTGGTGGCTCTGCCTTTGGTGTCCATCAATTATTGAGCAAACACGTAGAAAGACATTAACATTTACATTCGATTTTATGGGCCGCGCTGCAGCCGAAACTCTGTTTGCCCTCCGACCATAAAATGTATCCGTCCGGACCCATTCATTTCGGTTGTGTCTTCCACTCGGTTTCTTGTAATTTCTGCTTAAATCAATAAGACTAAATGCCGTGTTTATTGTGGCACAACGTAGCAGGAGTTTTGCCTGCCATAAATTACCCAATTAATGTTCGTAAATTAAACAGAAAGTCTAATGGGTCCCAGGCTCAAGGAACTCTGCCACGTTCACGTGTAAATAAAATTCAGTGCGGTTCTTGCAAGGAGAATACCAATCTCCAAGACTGTCTGAGATGCTGCCGGCTTCCCTCTCCTCTCGAGGTGCATCACTGTCATCGAGGGTAGTGCAGAGGCTGAGGGGTGTGC